CAAGTTTTCTACTTAACTGTAAGTTTAGGTAGATCATGTTTTTCTAAAACTGTATCAGTTTCTTCTAAGTTTTCAAATTTGTTGGAGTACAACTTTTCATAGTATTCTGGTATTATCCTTTTGATTTCTTTTGGTTCCGTTGTGACATTTCCAATGTAGTTTCTAATGCGTGTTATTCGTGTCTTCTCCCTCTTTTCTTTTGTTAGGTTTGCAAATGGTCTGTCAATTTTGTTAATCCCTTCAAAGAACCAGCTTCTTGTCCTGTTGATTCTTTTTATAGTTTTTCTGTTTTCTATCTCATTTATTTCTGCTCTAATGTTTATTATTTCTTTTCTTTTGGTGGCTATAGGTTCCCTCTGCTAGTCTGTTTCTAATTGTTGTAGATGTTGTGTTAATGTGTTAATTTGGTTCATTCTTTCTTATTGGATGTGTGCATTTATGGCAGTAAATTGTCTTCTCAGCACCGCTTTTGCCGTGTCCCAATGATTTTAGTATGTTGTGTTTTCATTCTCTTTGTTTCTAGGAACCTTGTGAGTTCACATTTAATTTCTTCTACTCCCCAGTCACTTTTCAACAGGGTGTTATTCAGTTTCCATTTATTTGGCTTTATTTCCTTGGTCTTCCTATTGTTGATTTCTAATTTGATAGCTTTGTGATCTGAGAAGATTCTTGCTTTATAGTATTTTGATGTTTGTATATTTATGGAGGTTTGTTTTGTAGCCTAACTCATGGTCTATTTTGGAGAATGTTCCATGTGCACTGGAAAAGAATGTGTATTGTGCTGTTGTTTGGTTGAATGCTCTGTATGCATATATGTGGCCCAGTTGGCCGATTGTGTTGTTTAGTTCCTCTGTGTCTTTGGCAAGTTTCTTTCTGGTTGTTCTATCTATTTTTGAAAGTGGTGTATTAAAATTGCCCACTATTTTTGTAGATTCGTCTACTTCTTTCTTCAAATCTATTAGAGTTTGCTTTGTATATTTTGGAGCGCTTTCATTGGGAGCATAGGTATTTATTATGGTTATATCATCTTGTTCAGTTGTCCCTTTAATCATGAGATAATGTCCATCTTTATCTATTATACTGGTTTTTGCCTTGAAGTTTATTTTATCAGAGATTAGTACTGCCACTCCTGTGCGTTTTTTTATTGCAATTAGGTTGATTTTTTTTTTCTTTTCATCCTTTGACTTTTAATCTGTTTTTTTCCTCTGTGTAAGATGTGTCTCTTGCAGATAGCATATAGAAGGGTCTTGTTTTCTTATCCATTCTGCCACCCTCTGTCTCTTTACTGTTGCATTTAATCCATTTACATTCAGTGTAATTATTGATAGGTATGGATTAACTGCTGCCATTCTGGTTTTTT